TCCATGTTATTAAAATGTAACCTTAAATTATAACCATAGAACATAAGGTTTGAAGATTAAATAATTAAGTGTCAAAAGGAGGTTCACGCCCAAAATAATAGGGGGCCTAATGTGAGGGGCCCATGGTGCCATGTGGCCACCCTACAGTCACTCGGGTGCCACATGGCATCCGCATGGATGTCCTCATTTGGAATTAAGGTCAAACAATTTTGAAAGACACATTTTTGTGCTTTAAAAAATAAAAAAAATAAAAAATACCAATAAATATTTGAAACATACTTACATATTTTTACATCATTTCTCATCATAATGAAATCTCAAGGCTTTGACTTAGTAACGTGAGTACTCCATTGGGCTAGTCCCGAATGATGCTCCACCGGTGTCTCAAGTTGACCCAACAGACCTATGCTCCACATTCTACGGCAGAGACACATAATTGATCACATCAAAGTCACTGAGCCAGAGCTTCCCACCATCCGGCTTCTCAATGGATTACAGGTGTACCCTTGTGGGACATATTACTATTATATGACAGGGGTCCTCTCAAATTACATCTGCACAATCAGGATACAGATTCATGTTCCTTAAGTCTTAACCATTCCATACAGATCCAACTCTCATCACAAGACACTCGGGTTCTTTTACACTCGATTGGTAACTCCAAGGCATGGCTAATCACATCAATATGAGGCATTCTAACCTATATAGTCCTAACTCGGAGGTGACCCTCACACCTTGTAGAGTGATCATTCTCTCAAAACGTAAACTCTCAATGCCTCATACGCCCTCGGGGTATTAGAACATGGGCCTCAGTTCGCAAAGCACCCATATTCTATTTCTCACTCACTTCCACTAAGCCAGACACTCTTGGCATTAAGGCCTTGAAAGGTTATATTGCTAACAGTTTATTGCCCAAGTCACGTCTAAAACCCTTTCCCTTTAGCGTAGGCATTACCGTTGAGTGTTATTGGAGGGTCATCCCTTGTTGAGATTGGAGAGATTCCTAAGGATGGTTTGTAGGCTAGGAAAGCTTGGTGGTCTCCTATATTTGGTCATAGGCCTGTGAGAGCACAGGCTTAAGTCCTTAATAGACTTCTGCCTGACATGTACATATGACAACCGCATTCAGGAAAATAATCTTGTAGAGGGATACATGTAAATGTGCATAAAGAGAGTTGCTTTTTCACTATAGTGATACATGCATTTGACTCTCTCTTAAGGGGGGACCTATATTGAAATCTTGGTTCCACTATTTATTGGCCAGCTTAGACATGCCAATCATGAGCTCGTGCGCATGACTCTGGGTCATGGGTTGTGTTGGTCAGTTTTAGAAGATATATGTGGATCACAGTTTCTGGCTCAGGTGGAGTACCTTGATAGTCACTTTTTTTGACCCATTGGAACCAATCCACTTATAGTGTATATTTGAGCGTTTTTTATAATTTCTTAACAACCTGAGTAATATTGTCTGTCATCTTTATAATTATTTGATTTTAGAAACTTTTCATAAATTTTAAACATTTATGTTTTTTGTAAAAAACCTAGAAAAATGCAAAGTTGATATTTTATAAATTTAGTAGGGGCTTGGTTTTAAGTGGGTTCCACGTGGGGGTCCCAAGGCCCAGCTCCCACACGTGGTTAGACCACATAGGGGTGGGACATGGGGTGCACAAGGGTCACACCTCCTACACACAAAAATGGGATGCCCCTAATTAAATTTAAGATATTGTTTTATAATTATTTGTTTTAGGAATCCTAATTGTATTAGGAGTCCTATTTGGATTAGAATTCCTACTTGGACTAGTACTCAAAATTTGTATTAAAATATTATTTGTTTTGGGATTCTTAATTGTATTAGGACTTCTATTTTGATTAGGATTTCTTATCGTACTAGGACTCTTGCTTAAATAAGGATTCGTATTAAAATAGTATTGTTTTAGGAGTCTTAGTTGTATTAGGAGTCCTATTTAGATCAGGATTCTTGCATTGGTCTAGGACTCCTACTTAGATCATAATTCAAATTAAGGTAAAAATCTACTTGTCTTAGTTTGACTAGAAGTGGATATGGGTCAAAGATTTAGAGAATAAGGTTCCTAAACTTCTTCCTAGATCATGATAGCTGATTTTTGGAATGGATGACTGAGATTTTTCTTGTCCCGACAGATTACCAGGAATCCTATTGGTGTCAAATTGAATTCTGATTAAGATAGACAATACCCTAGACCTCTTGGAAAACTATAAATAGTGTCATTCCTCGTTACATCATTTAGTTTCTTGCCTCTTCACTACCAAAATAAATAGATACAATCCAAGAATGAAAGGAAGCTTCTACCATCAATTTGAATACAATTAAATATGGATATATAACTGAAAAAACAAAAATAAACAGCTGTGATGACTTACTTGATTATACCTAGGGATACCCCCATAGGACTTAGTACAACCCATACCTGATATCCTGATCGATGGCACACTCCAAGCCTATTGATCTTGCTGAATTTTTAGAGCCGTGAAGCTTCCTTAGAAAATACCTATTCAAATAGGGTTTTAGAGAGATAAAAAACAATTAGGGTTTGTTAGAGAATCCCTTCAGAACAAATTAGGGCTTACCATGAAGGCACATCCCTTTCTAGACTGAGGGTACCCCTCTCTCCAACAAAACCCTAATTAGGGTTGGCATGCTACCCCTTTTAATTTCTTATTAGGTGGTGTGCCATCAAGAGAGAGAGAGAGAGAGAGAGAGAGAGTGAGAGAATTTTTGGTTGCACGGAGGAGAGAGGGGGAATTAGGAGAGAGAGAGAGGCTCGAATTGTGTCTTTTGAGAAGGGGGGTTCACCTCCTCATATAGGCCTCAAGACCCACCCTTAGATACACCTATCCAATTACTCACCTTGACCAATAGGAAATTACGAAATCTGTGAGGTGAGAGAAATAAATCTGAACCATTCATCCTACATATCAGCCATCATGATTTAGGGAGGTATATTAGGAACTTTATCCAGCCAACTCCAACTAATTGGGATAAGGTTTGGATGATGACGATGATGATAATAGTAAGAACTTTATATCCCTACTATTTGACCCATATCCACTTCTAGTCTGATTAAAGTTCATGACTACTCGCCATGCCCTAATCTGGTTGCAACAGTTGGAAGTAATTAAATTTTTACATATCATTCATTTGGAAGTGAGCAGTCTCAGTTTAAACAAGGCGCACTCAGTTAGAAACCAAGAGAAGAGATTTGCTCTAGTTCTCACTCTACTGATGCATCAAAAAATATTCCTTATCAAATTCCAGAATGAGGGCCAAAGTGCTTTATTTGTGACGACCCTCGTCATCGATCTTTGAGTGCTCTAAAAAGCACAAATCTGTTTATTGGGGACGAGGATATGAAGGGACATCAATGCGAGCCAGCTTATGATGAGGAGCTTAAAGGAGGACCCGAGGGTGGTGGTGCTGATTTCTACCCTAATGAAGGAAAATTCTTAGTGATTTAGCTGGTATTAACAGCCTCAGACGTGAAAGAACTTTGGCTTCGAAGAACTAAAAGTGTACGACATAGGACAATGTGTGTATGTTTATTATCGACGGTGGGAGTTGAGGCATATGGTGTCACAGGAGATGGTGGACAGGCTGAAATAAAGTGCGAGAAGCACCCTCACCATAAAAAATTCATTATTCGAAGGAGATAATGGAAGTCCTATTAATCCTCTTTTGGTTATTTTTTATTTAGGAAACCAATGTGTTGTATGGTGTTATGTGATCCCTGTGGATGCATGTCATGTAATATTGGGTCTCTCATGACAGTATGATTGCTCAGCTATATAGCATGGCAAACACAACATGTATACTTTTTGGAGTCTATTTATGTAAAGGTTGTTGAATAGGAACTGTAGATGCCTAAGCAGGATATTGAGCAGATCAAAAAGTTTCTTGACATTCAGATCATTATTTTTCAACGTGGTTCCTACAATCAGTATTTCGTCCAATGGAAAGGGAAACCTGAGTTAGAGAATTTATGGATTTTAGAGGAAGAAATAAAGAAAATTGTTGCAAAAGCCATGAAGAAATTCCCAAATGACAAAAATTTGAAGGCGAGTTCTCTCTAACCAGAGGAGACTGATACAGTCCCGCGACACTGACCGAGCTTCATGACCGACATTTAGGCTTTTAGAGGCATTTTCAGCCTGCTTTGTTGGGTACGTTCTACATAGAAAATTTTGGACATTATAGAGCTTAAGATGCCATTTCCGAAATAGGTCGTAATTGCAATTCATATCAGAGTGAAGTATTATGCGTATGTGTAGTTAGGGTGTTTTTCGAGGTTTTCTTTAAGGACAGGCTTGTATAATTTATTTGGTTAAAGGGAAACAGTGTCAAGTTCGAGTCTAATTTGATAAGGAGTTCTAATTACATTAGAATTAGGTTAGGAGGTCTTAATAAAGTTAACAAGTAGGGGTTTAGTGAGGATTTTGTCTCAGATTTGAACTATTCTTTAGACACTGTTTCTTTGAAAACTCTACAGAACCAGTGAAGCTAGGCTTGTTAGCTTTTAATTTTGAATTGATTCATTAGTTTCTTTTAGAAATCTTGTGTTTGTTTTTTGGTTTTTTTTCTTGCTGCAAATTTACATCAGTAATCTTGCCAATATCTCCCAATCAACAATTTGTTGTAAAACCTTCTGACTTAGCTAAACTGGTTGAACTTGAATTATTGTTTTGTTATCAGTATAGTCCGCTAGGGCATATTTTAGCGTTTCATAGATTTTAACATCTTTTTCTTAGTTCCTAACTCCATTGCTAATCTTTATGTCTTTAAAAGTACATATATTTGTATTTTAATATTCAAACTGAGCATAAAATAATGTTAGCATCTGCAAATCTTCTAATTTTCAATTTCTAGATTGGTGAGGAATAGTTGATTATCCAATTTTTCCATTTTTATTCCAATTTTGTTGCAGTAAGTTTCATCTATCTTAAAGTATGGGGTGTGCTTGCAGCTGTTCTTGATGTAATTTTCACATGGAAAGCAAGAAAAAACATGAAGTTTTCACTTAGGCTCAGATACTTCCTGAAGATTGCTACCGCTGCTATTTGGGTTATCATTTTTTCAGTTTATTATGCTCATCCAAACAAAAATTCAACTTGCATTGCCAAATTACATGGTAGTTGGGTTTCAATATGGAGGTGTCCTTCATCCTACACATCAGCAGTTGCCATCTACTTGTTGGTCAATGCCATCAGAATGGTATTATTTTTCTTCCCTGCAATGAGCAGCTATATTGAAACTTCGAATTGGAGAGCTTTAACCCTTTTGACTTGGTGGGGACAGGTAAGGTTTTGGAGTTTGTTGTTTTTCCATGGATTGAAATAATCGTTCAACTATTTCCTAGATCATATTCAATTGCATAGCCTAAAATTTTTTATTCTTTTTATTTGTTGAGAACATCTATTTTTCTGAATACCGTAGCATGGATTGCTAAAATGAGAGGTGATAAGCCGGAAAGCATTTCATTAATAAAGTTGCACATAAATTAGAACAAGCTAATTTTATACCTATCAGAAAAAGATAGGCGAGGAAAACCAAATTGGCTAATTGTGTTATACTTGATTGTATTCCTGACCTTATTTAGATTTTTATTATTTTGATTGCCAAAAAATAGATTGTTATTATTGTAACTTAATTCAAATTGGGTAAGCATTCAAGCAGGTTTATAATTTTGACCAAATTCCATTTTCCTCAGTTTTTTCTTTAGAAGACTGTAGATATAAATAGATTACTGTTTCATATTAATTATGACAGTCTATGAGACGAGGGACCTTGCATACAGCATGTGGCTATGTGGAATTGAAGGCTATAAAAAAAAAAAATTCTTTTTTTTCTTTATTATTGAATTTGAATTCCACTTAGAAGTGCGATAATACTCTGCTGTGAATGGAAATTAGAATCTTAAGTACATCATAGGGCATTTCCTTTTACTGCTAAAGTAAATAAACACACTGCAGGAATGAAATTCCAGCTTCCACTAACAATTTAACACAAATAATGTTCCTGAAGGTTAAAGAAAATATGCAAATATAATTGAAAAATAAAAGCCAGCAGTTGGGAATACTAACTTGAATGTGCCTAAGCTCGCACCTATTGGACTTAATACACCTTAAAACACAATCCAGGAATGAAATTCCAGCTTCCACTAACAACTTTAACACAAATAATGTTCCTGAAAGTTAAAGAATATATGCAAATATAATTGAAAAATAAAAGCTCACAGTTGGTAATACTTACTTGAATGTACCTAAGCTCAGACTTATTGGACTTAGTGCCTAAGCTCTCACCTCGTTGACCAATATTTTATCCAAAAGTCTCATAAAAATCAGTCAATTAAATCTCTAAAATCTCAATGAAAACTCCACTAAAATTCAATTCAATTAACTAAGATTATAGGCTCTTACTCATAGATCAATCTTCACTCAGTTGCTTATCAATCAAAGAGGTAAGGGCTTGATATACCTTTTTGTAAATGAGATTTACAGCCATGAAAATTGGAACACCATGAAGCTATGGTATCATCTTCAAGCTTTAGGATGGAGCCTTAATGGAGTTCCTAGCTTGATTTTGATTCTCTCTTTAAAATCTCCCTCTCTACACACTTTTTCACATAAATAACACCTCAACACACACAAGAGAGGAAAGAGAAACCCTAGGCTTAGGTGTGCCACACCTAAAACCCTACAATTTAAAATTTCTTTATTTCTATCATTAATTCATTAAAACCCTAATTCATTATTTCTATCATTAAAATTTCTATCATTAAAACCCTACAATTATTTCTATCATTAAAATTTAAAAGATCTTAACCACTCATCCTCCCATAAAACCCTAATTCATTCCAAAATTTCTATGAAGAAGTATAAGTAAGGCCTTACCCCAAAGGTATTTCTGCACACATTTTGAAAGAAGTATCTGTGTAAAATTCAAGACTATAAATTAAAAAATCTACTTTATTTAGTTAATTGCTGAAAATCTACTTACAAGTGCCCATATATACAATAAAATAAACTTTTTTACAATCTAGGATCTTTAAATCTTACTGCCAAATAAAATGTTATTGAAACTATATACAAACTAATAACTCTAGGAATTAAAATAAGACAACAAAAAATAAAATTAAATAACTACAAGAAGACTTATTAACTTTTGCCTTGGGCCCGACACCTGATCACCTGACCGATGGATCCGAATCTTTCTAAATCCTTAATCTAAATCTGGGAAGCACATTTGGGACACCCTTTCCAAAACTTATGGAGTTGGGAGCTAGGGTCACAATTAGAGTTTCACGAAGATTTTAACCTTGGGGCATATCAAGATGGCACCTCCCTTAAAAACTTAAGCTAGGGCTGGGCATGCCCCTTCCCTCGTCTCTCCTTTGAATGGGGTGTGCCACTTAGGGAGAGAGAGAGAGAGAGAGAGAGAGAGAGAGGAGGGTATAGAGTAAGTAATTAGTAGGAGGACAGTAGGAGAGGAGAGAGAGTAGTAGGAAGTAAGTACGTATTAGTAGTAGGTTAGGTAGGTAGGGAGG